ATTATGAGTTACCTGGCATAGACTTCCTATTTTTAATACAATATATATTTTTTTTCACCAATTACATGTTAAAACAACTTTTTTTTCTATCATAGACTTCTAAATGGGCTTTTCTTGGAGAGTTTTAAGGAACAATGCATGTCATTCTCTCATACAAAAGGGCCCTGAGCCTAGACTGACTTAAGTAGTCAAGTTTTGCTCTTGTAGAGATCACATTATCATACATAAAGTGATAGAATTTTTGACCTGGTTATCCCTTAATTCAGTGGTATCATTTTATATGTGGCCTAGAGAAGTTAAATGACTTGCTTGATGTCATACATCTAGTGTTCTTGCTCATTTCCATGATTTTCTTTGTTCATACTGCCTGAAATGTTCCCACTGCCTTTTCTCTTTTTTTCTTGGCCATATTGCATCCCATGTTTCAAAGTTCATCATCCTTCAAGGTTTAATTCAAGTCTCTTCTCCTTAAAGTCTCTCCTGATCATTTTAGCTTAGCTATCTCATATGGTACAGGAGAAAGAGCATTATCTTTAGAGCCTAGGGAACTGGGTTCAGAATTTAGCTTTAATACTTGTTACTTGTGTGACCTGGAGGAAATTACTTAATGTTCAAGGACCTCCTTTTCCTTATCAATAGAATAAGGGGATTAGACTATATGGCCTTTGAGGACCCTTCTAGAACTAGGATCTCGTAATCTATGATCCTATGAGCACTAGTTGTCCAAGCCACGTAACAGCCCTTAATTTTATTCTATATCATAGTTTAAGGCAGTGTTATGCTTGTTTTCTTAAGAGGACTGTAGCACTTGAGGTCAGTGACCATATCATATACCATATACTTCTCTTGTATATCCCCTTATTTCCTTCCTCCCCCCAGCTGGACATATGCTAGGTGAGGAGTTCATTGGTTGATCTCTTAATTGAAAAAAAGTGTTTTGGGCTCTGTCTTCATCCTGGAATCCATCTGCTCCATTGATCTCTCTTCATCCAGTGGTGAAAGTTGGACAAATTCCAGGTGCAGAAATTCACGTTCAAGAGACATTTTTCATTGTTTTCATTTTTCTTTCTACTCCCATGCCTTCCATCCACCTTCATATTAGTTGCTGGAAATTGCAATTCTTTCCTTATTGATTTGGTTCTTGCACATTTAGCAAGTATTGATTCTCCTCCCTGAACTCTTTGGCTTTATCTCTAATAGTACAGAAGCCAGAATAGACTTCTTTCATTTCATTCTCATGAGTACCCATGTGCCATTTATGCTGAGGAAATGAGTTGGAATTTCTCAGCTCTCTGGTTTGTGCTTATGGGTTAACTTTAGTAGCAAGTAGAGGCCACCACTTGTCACCATATTCTTTTTATATGATGTTCTTTATTCACCAAATCATTATCTACTAAAATAATTTTAAATTATTGATAGCCTTCACAAATTTTAACCAGGATTTGGACAAAAGTAGCAAATTTGTTTGTTTCAGTAAACAAGACTCAAGGGAAATATAAAAAGATTTAAAGCCAGAAGTGGATGTCTTGTTGGAATGATCAAGGTGAATTATAGGCCAAACTTTCAGTGAAAGGAATTTGTGTCCTAATGGATAGAACTAATGGACTAATGACAGTCCAGATTTCAGAGTTTTATTTCTCATGCTTTGATTTATCATTATTATCGCAAAATTTGACAAGTCCCTTTAATATTTGTTACCTCAATTTCACATGGGCAATCTCAAAGAAACATGGTGAACATTAATGAGAGAGTTGTAAAGTGTCCTGTGTTTCTTAGCGGAGATGTTATGTAGCTTTCAAAATGTTCTGTAATCATCCTTTAGTTTATATAACTTACTATCAGTGTGATAAATACTTCCCCACAAGCTCAAGAGCTTGTGGTGATTAATATATTCAGAGCTAAAGATTTAAACTCAGAAATTGTAAAAAAAAATAAAAAGTGGAAGACATGTAACAAAATATGTTGGAAGAGAGAATCTCAGAGTCTTATCATCAAGGTGAAGACAGTTTGAGAGGGGATAGGTGGTTCTCCATTTGTGACCAGGATGCTGTGTAATTCTTGCTACTAGAAGAACATCAAGATCATTAAGACTATCATTATTCTTAAATAGCTTTGACTTTATTAGGTTAGATATACTATGTGAACAAATAACTGTAATATGAGAAAGAATGTGAGAAATGCATACAATGAATATTTAGAGGTGGAAAGGATCACTTCTGGAGAGGGGAATCTTAGAGAAACTTAGAGAAAACTTAAAGGGAAGAAGTAGCATTTGAGCTGGGCAGCGAGATGGTGCAATGGATAAAGCACTGGGTTTGGAATCAGGAAGACTCATCTTCCTGAGTTCAAATCCGATCTCAGACGCTTAGTACCTGTGTTACCCTGGGCAAGTCACTTAGCCCTGTTTGCCTCTATTCCCACATCTGTGAAATGAGCTGGAGAAGGAAATGGCAAACCACTCCAGTTTCTCTGCCAAGAAAACCCTGGATAGGGTTACAAAGAGTCAGACACAACTGAAAAACAACTCAACAGCAACAAATCTTCTCTACTCTAAATCTAGTACTTTAATAAACTCCTTTGTCAGGTAGTCTGTCCCCAATCTACTTTGCCATTTTCATCTCACACTACTCCTCTTCATATACCCTACACACCATATAAACTGGACTACTGACCAGTCACAAATTCTTTATTTTCCTTTCTCTGTACCTTTGCTATCACTTTGCCCTATTTTATCTATCTTTCAAGGCCCAGCTCAAATGCTTTTGGGTTGTTCAGTCATTTCAGTCATGTCCAGCTCTTTGTGACCCCATTTGGGGTTTTCTTAGCAAAGATGCTCGAGTGGTTGGCCATTTCCTTCTCCACCTCATTTTACAGATGAGGAAACTGAGGCAAACAGTGTCAAGTGACTTGCCCAGAGTCATGTGGTTAGTGAGTGTCCCAAGCTGGATTTGAACTCATGAAGATGAGTTGTCCTGACTCCAGGCCTGGTACTCTATCCACTATGACACTTAGCTTCCCCAAGGAAGATTTGGCTTCCACTTAACCTCTCTATGACTCTATTTCCACATATGTAAAATGAAGTATTTGGACTCAGTAGCCCCTAAGGTGACTTCTATCTCTAAATTAATAGATTTAGAGTCACCAAATCATAATTCAGTGACTTAATTTGTTTCATAATTGTTTAGTACTTAAATATTTTGAAGATAAGAGTGATGTTCATTAAGAAGATGAATCTACCAGTGATGTATATGGGGAACAGATTAGAGGTAGAGAGAAAAATTGGGAGACAACTTCAACATTCCAAGCAAGAAGAAATAAAAGTCTCTACTAGGTGGCAGTGGGATTGGCAAGAAGGAGATGCACAATGGAGATAGTGCAAGAAGAATTGCCAGGCCTTGGTGACTAATTTAATATCGTGTATGAGGTAGCTAGGTGTTATATAGAGTGCTGAACCTGGAGTCAGGAAGACCCGAGTTTGAATTGTGCCTTAGGCAGTGACCCTGGGGAAGTCATTTAATCTCTCACCTTACAGGTGAGGATCAAATGAGGAAAAATACATAAAATACTTGGCAAAACTTAAAGCACTGTATAAGTGTTAGCTATGATGGAAAGTCAAAGGTGACTCCAAGATTTTTGGTTTGCATGATTGTCAGACTGTTGGTGTCATTGATTGAAATAGGGAAATTGGGAAGAAAAGTAGCCTCGGGGCTCAATATAATGGTACATGTGAATTGCGGTCTGAAAATCTGAGTTGAGATGCCAAGTAGGTAGTAGGAAATTTAGATTTGGAGCTCAGGAGACAGTATGGAGCTGAAGTAATGAATGTGGACATCACTTACATTGTGGTCTAACATTGAAAACATGAGAGTAAATGTACCTATATAGCTATACTTTACTGTGGAAGAGCTTAAAAGAGAGAAGAGAAAGCTGAGGACAGAATGCCTGTAATAATGGGGTAGAAAGAGGGAGAAGAAGCCTATGAAGGAAGACACAAGTAGGAGACGGTGTGGTTTGTCCTTCGTTCTAGAGGAGGACCATGACATCAGGGAGATGGTGACATGACTTGCAATTGAATTTGATTTGAGTGAGGGAGGGCTCTGCAAGGTCACCAGTCTCACTTTGTCCTCCAGAGCCATCTGGGTCCAACAGCCTGATATCAATCAGGACAACTGGAGATGGCCCGGGATGCATTTATACTGCTGTGTGACAGAAGCCAACAGGGAAGAACATATCAAGGAAGTGATTATTTGTAAAGGTCTTCAGAGAAGGAAGTTCTAGTCTGCCTTAGCATCTTGCTCTAGTGAACATGTAGCACTCTTTATAAAGGACTTTTTGTATCTAGTCAAAATCTTTCCTTCTAAAATTTGAGCCTATTTCCAGAAGATATGACAACTAGCATTTATATAGTATTTTAAAGTGTCTCATTTGAGTTTTCTAACAACCCTATGAGGTAGGACCTAGAGATATTATTATCACTGTTTTACAGATGAAACAACTGGGCTCAGAGACATCTATTACATGGGTCAGGAGGGCCAAATTTGGACCTATGTCTTTCTGGCTCCAAGTTTTCTACCCAGGCAAATGGACAGTGCAGTGGATAGAAGACAGGGCCTGAAGTCAGGAAGATCTAAGTTCAAATCCATCCTCAGATACTTACTAGCTTTGTGACCCTGGGCAAATCACTTTGCCTCTGTTTGCCTCAGTTTCCTCATCTGTAAAATAGGGATAATAATAGCACCTACCTTCCAGAGTTGTTATGAGGATCAAGTGAGATCATAATTGTAAAGCACTTAGCACAGTGCCTGGCACATAGTAAGTGCTGTATAAAATGTTAGCTATCATCATCATCATCATCATCATCATCATCATCATCATCATCACCATCATCATCATCATCATCATTTTGTTCTAGACTCCCTTTATCTGATATGACATGCCAGAGTCCATTGTATTTCTAAGATGCTGACAGGCCATTTTTTTTCTGATTTATATTTCTGCAGATGGTAATTGGAAGGTTTCGATAATTACCAGTGAGTTGCCATGTGCAGGAACCAGCTCGCAGATCTATATTGTATTATATGGGCACCACAGAAGCTCAGCACCTGTCTATCTTTATGGAACAGGTGGGAACGCGTTTCAAGAAGGCCGAGAAGATATCTTCACGGTAAGTAATAAACCAGGGTAAAGCGTGTCTGTGTAGGAGATACAGTGAACAGGGACAGTGGAATGAACGGAACAGATCCAGCGTGTCTCTTCATGTTCTCACCCTGTGTGTCCTCTAGGTGTCAATCAAAAACAATCCTTAGTGATACTTTCTCAAATAGATTAGCAAAAAAAGGTAAAAGGGCACAATATGGTAAGAGACTAGAGCTGGAGAGGGCTCACATTTACTCTGTTTCTTTATGAGGAGCTACCATCAAGGTCTGGTTAACCTCATGAGCTGTCATAACTATATTAATGATAGTGAAGGGGTAAATCAGTTAGTTGGTAAGCATTATTTAAGGATCTGCTCTATTCTAGGCACTGTTCTAAGTGCTATAGATAGAAATGCAAAAAATCATTATTCCTGCTCTCAAAGAGCTTATATTCTAACAGGGGGGACAACATGCAAACAACTATGGACGAACCAATTATATATAGGATAAATTGGAGAATACTTCAAGCAAACTTCCAAGCAAATGGTCATGGATCATGCATACTTGGAGGTTAGAATCTTTGGGGAGACAGAGAGGAAGTAAATACAGAAACCTTTTGTTATTCAGTCGTTTCATCCATGTCTGACACTTCGTGACCCCATTTGGGGTTTTCTTGGAAAAGATGCTGGAGTAGTTTTCCATTTCCTTCTCCAGCACAGAAACCTTAGATGTTATCCTATTCCACAAGTGCTTACTATGAGCAAGGCACTGTGTTAGATGTCAAGAATACAAAACTAGCACATTCTACTGCCAGTGGGAGTGGGGGTGGAGAGGGACAACATGTATCCAAAGAAGTATATAAGTTATTATTTGAAAGATTAGAGTACGCAATAATTAAGGGTCTCAGTATCAGGACAAGACTCCTATTAATAATGATACATAAGCTGAACCTTGAAGGAAACCAGAGATTCTGAGAACAAATTGAAGAAGGAGTGCTTTCCAGCCATGGACACAGCTTGTGCAAAGCCATGAAGGTTGGAGATGTAATGCCAAGTTCAAGGTAGAGCAAACTGGCTGGTTTTACTAGAATGGGGCAGACATGGAGAGGAATAGAGTGAAATAGGCCTATAAATATGTGTTGAAGTCAGAGAGTAAAGGGCTTTAAATGCCATTTTAAGTACTCAGCCATGTCAATGAATCAGAGACAGTAGTTGACGAGAATCAATCACAGATCGGAACAGAGCAGAGCCAGAGAAATAGATCACTAACAGTTATCAGTATTGGCAAACTGCTTCTACTGCCCCCCATCATCCTTCAATGTAGGCTGGGGAGCACTTTGAGTGGATACTGGAGGTCAGCTAAGAGCCAGGGGAAGATACACAGTGGCTGATTGTGTGGTAAGGGGATTTCCCCAGTGGGCCACGGAAAGAGTTTAAGTCCTAGGTCCTAGCATAATGATAAGAGGTAAGCAAAATAAACACCATTTGAAAACACCAAGATGGGGGCAAGAGTGAGAATAGCAGTAGGAAAGACTCATGAGTCAGTGATTCTGAAGTCAAAGCCAGGGATCATCATCCAATGACTCGGAAACTACAGCCAGGAATAGCTAGAGTTGAAGTTAGTGTCCAGAATCAAGGTCAGGATATCCACAATCCAGAGTCAGATTGCAATTACAGCAACAAAATGCTTGAATGAAGTCTGAGCAAACTCCAGCTCTTTCTGAAGCTGCTACAGGAGGCTGCTCATTGTGAATGACTGGGCTTTCGAGGATACTTGAGAACCAATTTGAGTGATGAAGTCATTTTGACTATTAAAAATATACAAATTAAAAATAAAGGACATATGAAGAAAGATGTCATCTACATCCAGAAAAAGAACTGATAAATAGAAGTATGTATAGAATAATTTTACATACATATATGTATATATATATGTACATATATGTACACAAACACCTATTTGTGTCTAATGGTAGAGCAGAGTGGAGGGAGGGAAGAAAACAGGAAAAAAAGATAGTTACATGATACTTTATTATATATTTAAAAGAAATAGCAAGTTGCATGTAACAGATTTGCAGTTTCATGTGCAAGCATCATTTTATCATACTATGTTATAGAAATGCTTGTTTCATTCCACAAATAAAAAATAAAATAAAAGTTTAAAAAAAGAATACTTTACCATGGAAACTGTGTCTGTCCTGGTATCAGGGAGGAGAGTGGTTAGAGACCTTAGATCTGGCCACATTGGACCATATCTTCTCCTCCACTTGATCCTATTTGTCAAATACAGCTAACCTTTTTGTATTCAGCCAACCTACTTCCTCATACATTCCTGAGAGAGGAGGCAGAAGCACTATAGAAGCATTCAGATCATTCCTCTTGGTTGAACCTATTGGCTATGACCTTTCCATATGGCATCAAAACTAGCTGAGATTATCTCTCTTCTGTGGTTGATTGTCCAGTGAAAATTACCGGACAAAAGGATTTATAATGATCCTGCCACTGTGTACACATCAGACACAGCCTTAGAAGGTAAGGTAGTAACATGAACTGTTTTCCCATGAATTTTATGAATTGACCATCAAATCTATTCCCTGGGACTCTCTGACAGCTAAAGACTGGAGATATTGGAGAGCTCCACAAGATACGCATCGGCCACAGTAATTCTGGTCTCTCTCCTGCCTGGCATTGTAAAGAGGTGAGAACATACAAACAATTTTTCATCCTTTGGCCATCCTGTTATGACAGCTATGATAGCAAATGGCTTTTCTTTCCTTTTAGTGACCAAGAGAGTATATTGTCTCAGATCAGCCTTTTCTGTCATTATATGACCTTGACTATGGATTTAGCTCATTTAAAAAATTGCCTGGAAGAAGCAGTGCTACACATTCTTGATCATAACCAGCATTTGTAATAATTGTTGTTGTTCATTCCTTCAGTTCTGTCTGATTCTTTGTGACCCCATGGACCATACTGCCCATGGGGTTTTCTTGGCAAAGATATTGGAGTGGTTTGCCATTTCCTCCTCCATTGGATTAAGGCAAACAGAGGTTAAATGCCTTGCCCATGGTCACACTGCCAGTAAATGTCTGAGTTCAGATTTGAACTCAGGTCTTCTTGACTCTAGGCCTGGTGATCTATCCATTGAGCCACCTAGCTGCCTATTTGTAATAATAGGTAGCATTATGAAGCATTTTAAAGTTTTCAAAGCACTTTGCCCATATTATTTCATCTGATCCTCATAACAACCCTATGATGCAGGTGCTATTATTATGCTCATTTTACAAAAGAGAAAACAGGTTGACAGAAGTTAAGTGACTTGTCCAGCATTACAGTTAAGTGTTAATTTGAGGTGGGATTTGAACTTCAGGTCTTCTTGATGTCAAGTCTAGCTTTCGATCCACTGTGCCACCTTGCTGCTTTATTGACATTCACATCATCTTAGGGAAAAATATTTCAGCATAATGAACTTGGGGTTTTTGTTTATTTGTTTGTTTGTTTTTTGGTCAAGACCTGTGGCTTCATTTGTAAGCAGACCTCCCAGTCAAGGGATGCCTTTCAATGATGTAAATTGGTAATTTGGTATATCTTTTAATCTTAGAGTTATCTGGTGGCACTGAGAAATCAAGTGAATTGTCCCAGGGACACACAGCTACTATGTGTCCAAGACAGCAGAGTGCAAGTTCTGAAAAGTTCTAGCATAGCTTCAACAAGAGAATATGGTTCTAACAATAGACTATGAGTATTTTCTGAGGACAGCTCTAATAAGTACAAAGATACCCATCATTAGCAGGGTGACTACTTGGTGATGAATTCTTTGGCTATGGCAACACATGAAAGAAAAATATAAATGGCTCCCATCCTATATTTTTCCCTTCTCCTTCTACAGGGACGGTAGCACGGGGGGAGAATAGGGACAGAGGATACTAATAATTATACCTATAAATGCTAATTTAACTGTTTCTACTCTAAATGTATAATTCTTGTCCAATGAATAAGTAGAGGAATTGGATCAAATCAACTTTGACATTCTTGTTATAAATGAAGCCAGAAGACAAAAAGACAATCTAACTAACTGGAAAGGTGGCTCATAGGTTCTCTTCAGAACTACAAAGAAAAGAATTGGTAGCATATCCAAAGGCAGCAGAAATGTAATGTCAAGGTGCTCTTGGTAATATATTATAATTCTTACTAGTTATTCACAAAAAGATCTCCATAGTGGAAGATTATGCATCAACATCTTTCATAGAAAATGATCAGATAGAGAAATTCTACAAGTAACTTGATAAGAAAGACCCTCCAGATTAAATCAATATTTGCTTTGATAATCAATGACTTAAATGTAAAGATGAGCAGAGAAGAAAACTGGCAAAATTGTTAGAAAATATGACTCAGTCATTTCCCAATTGACAATTAGTAAAAGGATATAGACAGATCATTTTTAAAGGAAAAAAATCCAAGTTATAAATAACCATATGAAAAAAACTCCCTAAATCACCAGCAATCAGAGAAATGCAAATTAAAACTACTCTGAAGTTCTACCTCATACACACCAGCTTAGCAAAGCTGACAAAAAAGGAAAATGAAAAATGCTGTAGGGGATATGGAAAACAGGTACATTAGTGCACTATTAGGGAACTGTGAGTTGGTTCAACCATTCTGGAAAGTAATTTGGAACCAAGCTCCAAAAAACTATTAAATTGTGTATTCCCTTTGACCCAGTGATGCTAGGTTTATACCTCAAAGAGATCATAGAAAGAGGAAAAGGATTCATATGTAAAAAATATAATAGCTCTTTTTTTTTTTTTTTGGCTAGGCAATGGGGTTAAGTGACTTGCCCAGGGTCACACAGCTAGTAAGTGTTATGTGTCTGAGGTCAGATTTGAACTCAGGTCCTCCTGAATCCAGGGCCGGTGCTCTATCTACTGCGCCACCTAGCTTCCCCAATAGCTCTTTTTATGGTGGCAAAGAATTGGAAACTGAGGGAGTACCCATCAATAGGGAAATGAGTGAATAAGACATCATACGTGAATGTAACAGAATACCATTGTGTTGTAAGAAATGATGAAGAAGATAGTTTCAGAGAAAGCTGTGTAGACTTTTATTAACTGAGGAAAATTGAAGTGAGTAGAACCAGTAGAACAATTTATATGATAACAATAATATTAAGACAAACAACTTTAAATGACTTTGAAACTCTGATCAACATAATGATCAACCACAATCCCAAAGAACTTGTGAGGGAACATGCTACCCATCTCCTGACAGAGAAGTGAGGCTCAGACTGAAGATTGAGATTATTTTTTTAACATGTCCAATGTAGAATTCGTTTTGCTTGACCATACATGCTTGTTAAAGAGGCTTTGCTTTTATTACTTTTTCAACGGCGAGATGAGATGGGGGTGACAGAATGTGGACCTAAAAATAAAATAAAATTGAATTTAAAAAAACTTCCACCACTACCACCACCAAAAGGAAATATGGCTCAGAATTTTTAAAAAAATGATAGATGTCAAAGACTTGTAGACTTCACAAATATTTCATACCTATATATCATAAATGCTTTCTTCAAGAGAGCTTATAGGCACTGGACATGACAAACACTAGGAAACATCACACAACACATACATACAGACACACACAATAAATTCGCTATATTTAGTAGGAAATGAATGATCATCAGAGTAAGAGTCATTTCTTCATCAGATGTCTATATAGAGACATCAACATGATAGAGCAAACGTAAAAACCAATAACCAAAAAAATCAATAAACTAGGAAGAATATAATTTAACAGTTGATTTGCAATTAAAAAAATCACTATTTAGATAAGCTATTGATGCTTTTTTGAAAAATGAAAAATGGGTAAAAGAAAATATATTGACATGCTATTTCATCATTTCTTGAGAATATTTAATGAACACAACAACTGCTGGGATGAGTCCAAAAGAACCTAAAAACCGTCCTCAAGTGGAAATATGGTAGCCAAGGACAGTGACAGTTTAGAATAAAAATTGTACATAAAAAATTTGGAGGATTTGAATATGGTAGATTGTAGATGATCTCCTTACAAAACCTTGAGATGTATTGAGGGGAAACCCAAAACAAATAAGTTTACAAAAAGATTGCCAATAAGCCCCATTAAGCCATGTCATCAAGTGAGCATTTAAGGATTAAACTGGAAGGAAGATAACAATGAGATGAAAAATGGAAAAGCTCTACCAACACATTTTATTTATTTATTTATTTTTAGGTAATTGGGGTTAAGTGACTTGCCCAGGGTCACACAGCTAGTAGGTGTCAAGTGTTTGGTCTGAGGCCGGATTTGAACTCAGGTCCTCCTGACTTCAGGGCCCGTGCTCTATCCACTGCGCCACCTAGCTGCCCCTCTACCAATACATTTTTAACAAACTATTTCCTCCATCAGTGACAGGAGAACCACCACATGTGGACAACAAAATCATAGTCCCCGTTATGCTTCATGAAGAATTTGAAGTGCCACTAAAGAAAACCAGGAGAGCAACTAGGCCAGATTAAGTATGCACAGAGAAGATCCATGCTAAGGGCAATTCATTTTTAAGGACACTAAGGACTGATTTTTAAAACAGGTAGAAGTGAGAGATACCAAATAATTTGAAAAAAAATAATACATGTTATTATTACTGGAAATTAGTAGTTGAAAAAACATCAACAAAGAATAATATGCCTACTTTCCCATCTCCACAAAATCTTTATGAGAATGATCTGCATATATATCATAAACATTACTGATAAAGGTTTGAGAAAGGGACAAGTGGATTGTCTGACTGATAGTGACCAACAGACCACATTTTGATGGAAAGTTGGGCATATAGATACAGTGCTAGACTTAGAGATAGTAATACCCATGTTTAAATCCTGCTTCTAACACTTAGTAGCTCTGCGACCATGAGAGAGAGTTCCTTAGTCTCTTTAGGTTCAGTTGCCCCATCTGTAAAAATTGAGATGATAGTGTAGAGTTGTCATGAGGGTCTAATAAGATTGTGCTAAACATTGTGGAAGCATTAAATCACTATATTTATATCAGCTATTATCATCATTGTCATCATCATCATCATTATAGTCCCACAATTGACAGAATGATGGGAAATTACAACCACTCACTGTGCTTAGTGCTTACTGATGCTCAAAAATCATTTGATTTGGAAGAGCAAAATGCTGCCTTAAAAACTTTGCTCCAACAAAGCATCTCTCGTGCATAGGTCAATGTCATATGGAATTCCTTGGAAGATGTAACAACAGAGATAAGTTTGCTTGACAATCCATTGATTATTAATATTGTGAGCATTAAAAAAGGAAATGTATGTTCATCAAGGGTGTTTGCAGCTATCCTGGCCATTGAATAGTGCAGAGTCCTAATAAAGAGAAAAATTCCCTGTGGATAGTGAGGTCCTATAGATACTCTTGTCCTGATTGTACCAAGCCCTCAAACATTGTAGTGCCTCCTAAGTGAAATCTGTGATTATTTAAAGAATTTTGAATTAATTATACAAGAGAAAAAAATCTAATGGACTTAACCAGATCATGATTTGCTATTGGATGAAAAGGCAGTGAGGGAGCAGAGGAGATAGAGTACTGGGCCTAGGATTCAGGAAGGCCTGAGTTCAAATCTGTCCTCATCTTAGCTGTATGACCCTAGGCAAATCTCTTAACTTTGTCTTCAATTTCTTAACTGTAAAATGGGGATAATAATACCACCTGCCTCCTATGGTTGTTGTGATGATACAATGAGATAATATTTATAAAATATTTTTCAAACTTTAAAGTGATGCATAAATGCTAGCTGTTTGTTCTTTTTATTCTGAAACTATATATTGCCGGAGTTTTCTCCCTTCAACTTCCTTTTTCAGTTTAAGATTTTTAAGGTTTTAGGAATATATTACTCTATTTCTGACCAAGAGTCCATTATTCTTATATCTTAAGATATGGTCCAGAAATCCAAATCCCATTCTTAGACTTCCTAAATCTCTTTTTGTTTTCTGAAATCCCTAATTGTCAGCAATGTTGAGAATACCAGCTGTGCTCCTGAGGCATTAGTTTTCTTTCCAAAGAGGTCATAATCCCTAGCAGAGCCTTCTAGGTTCATTCTGCCAGAATTGTTTGTTCCCATATGAATCACTAGGAGTAGCCAGACAGCTGCTGGCCTAACAAGTCTCAGGATGCCCTCTTCTTTGTCCTGTTTTGATAAACATATTAAAAAAGAAAAGCTCTAGTGCTTAATTAAACAATATGCTTTACCTTGTGGAGGAAGCAGGTAACTTCAAGGAATTAAATCAGTTATTTTAAGTTTAAGGGCACTTTGTCCTAACTATGCAAAATCTTGCTAATAACAGGAATGTGAAATAGTTCAAAGTAAAGACAGAATCATCTTCTGTACATTCTGTTCTTCAAAGATGTTCTTGGCCTTGCCTGCAACCTAAAATTGTCTTAATTGATCACATTGTGTTTTCTTTGCCTGTAAGGTATGCCTGAAGCTTTCTTTTTCAGGAGAAAGACTTCTACGAATGTTAGATTTGGTCTTTGTCTCTCTGTCTCTCTGCTTTAATCTCTCTTTGCCTCTGTTTTTCTGTGTCTGCCCCAACCTTCCTTCCCTTTCCCCATGACTCCCTCTGCCTTTTCCTTCTGCCCTTCCCCTTTCCACTCTTCACCCTGTGTCCCTCTCCTTTCCTCCACCCTCTTCTGTCTCTTTTCTTCCTTTTCTTTTCATGCAATTTCAGTAAAGGTTGCCCCTATTACAAATGGCAAGTTCTCCTTTCTGAGATTCAGCTTCACCTGCTGTAAAATGGGGTGATGATAGCCACAATATCTACCTCAAAAAGCTATTGTTAGGATTAAATGAGATTAAGGTGTGTGATTGCTTTGCAATCTTTAAAGCATGGAATTTTTTTCTTAACACTATCCATGCACCAGGAAGGCAACAGAATTGTTTTCATATCGACAAATTACCAACCTTTAGAGGGTGACATTGCCAACTATTACTTGTCTATCCATCCTCTTACAATTTATGACTAGATAACCTCTGTCCTGAAGGCACCTGTGAGGCATGTCTTGGAGCACAAATAATACATTCCTGTGAGGTTCCATAGCTTCTGACTCTTACTTTGCTTATGTTGTTGTTCAGATGTGTCTGACTTTGTAATCCCATTTAGGGTTTTCTTGGCAAAGATATAACGGTAGTTTACTATTTCATTCTCCAACTTATTTTATAGATGAGGAAATTGAGGCAAACAGGGTTAAGTGACTTGTGCAGGGTCACACAGCTAGTAAGTGTCTGGGGCCTGATTTGAACTCAGGAAGATGAGTCTTTCTGACTCCAGGCCTGGCTCTCTATCCTATTATGCCACCTCCACACATAGCTTAGCTCAAAATATTTCAGGGTCCTATTTCCTCTCTTTTTTTCTGAGTTATGTATTTCTGACCTCTAGTCTCCTGACACAATTTGGCATTTTCCTTTGCCTCTTCAGATCCTTTTTCTTATGAATTCTGGCAAAGAGAGTTCTTTTCATTATTTCAATGGAAGACATTTTGACTTTCAGATTGTTCACAATTTAAAACCTGCCTTATTTTTGTGATTCCCAATAAATGAAGATCTCCAATGCCATAGATTCTGCTGCCTTTTGACCCTCTTTTAGTTGGTTGTATTATTTTCAAATTTTGAGAGATAAATTATGTTGTAAAGTGAAAAAAAATCTAAAATGCAAAGTAACCTGCTATGCAAATTCTTGGTAATTTGCCTGGCAAATGTATTATTTCTGTGTGGTGTCATAGTATGTGAGAAAATTAATGAAAAATTCATAGGAGACAAGAACAGATTGTTTATTCCATTAGCAAAAATAATATATAGCAGTTAATAAAATCATCATCTTAGACTAAAGTCTGAAGAAGCCTGAAGCAGGACGAGAATCTTATCTAACTTTATGAAGAGAGAGGAGAAAGCTATTAGAGCTCAAAATGAAGAATTACTTCCTAGATTTTCACATAACATTGATACTTTTTATACTGTGTAAGGTTTAGAAAAGTGATGTCAATTTAATCCATGAATATCTATAGTAATAATAACTTGTCTGTCTGCTCTCACAGTAGGACAAAGCAATTTCTCTCAAAGTTATAATTAGTCTTCTTGCTAATCCCATGAGATTGATAGGGGGCAACTATTACTATATCCATTATGAAGATGGGGTGCTGAGACAGAAAGGTTAAGCAATTTGCCCAAGGTTACACAGTGTTTCAGAGCAAGAATTTATAACATTTTTTTTTTTACTGAATATTCATTTTGCCTTTCTTTATTTGCTATTTTAGCAATGACTCTCCAGTTTGGTTGTCCCTGGTTTATATCTTCTTGTCTCAGAGTCAACATCATTGTCACTATCCTCAACAAATATTTATTAAGCTCCTTTTATGGCTAATGTCTTAGGGGCAATATGAATGTTACACCAAGATAATTCCCATAGAGTTCACAACAGAGAAGGTGGATGTGATAATAGCTCATCTTCTTTGCCTCTCCAAACCTTGCCAAGTGTCTTGACACTACAATCTGAAGACCTGTGAGCCTTGTTACCCTGCAGCTGTACCTTACTATGTGTATTCACTCCTCCTCTTAGAATGGAAGGTCCTCGAGGTCAGGGACTAGCTTGCTTTTAGAATGGTATCTCTAGAACTTAGGAAATGAAATGTTTTGTATGAGGAACAACAGTGGCCCTGGATTGTGGAGTACTTGGATAGGAGTAAGGAGATTGTAAAGGTAGAGAAAAGTATGGTACAGTGGTTCTCAAGTAGAAAACCTTGGTCCAAATCCTCCTTCTGATGCTTACTACCTGTGTGAACTTGGACAAAATATTTAATGATCCTAGAGCTCAGTTTCTTCATTTGTAAAACAAAAGTTAATACAAGATGACTTCTAATGTTCTTTCCAGCTCTAGATATATGAGTCTGTAAGACGAAGGTGAGGAGAATACCTTCCAGGAATGGAGGACTAGACAATATGCAGTGTTTTAGATGTAAATTGGCATATTTTATTTAAGAAAGTGCCTTTGTGAAGCTAAAGGGATTGCCATTCTAGTTGGCATGGATGTGCAAAAACGGTATCATCACTCATTTCGAATGGTGAAATCCCTGATGTGTTAAATGCAATTAAAGATTTCCATGAATTTTGGGGAGGGTTGGTTTATCAAACACTGCCATTTTATTCCATTACATATACTCCATGCATCATATTGTTGACATTCCAGATAAAATTGCAGAACCTTTTCTCAGGGGAAAAGTTTTATATCCCTGTTTGCCGCTGGTTGGCTCAAGATCGAGAGGATGGGGAAATCTGTCGGGAATTGCCTGTTTTTCAAAAAGGCCAGCCAATCCTTCCAGGTAAGGGAAGATAAAACTTGAAACAGAGCTGACAGCATTTGGCCCTCAAAGCCAAGCAGCTTCTTACCTGTTGCTGCAGTTTAATAATTGCTGTATCTTCCACCCTTTAAAAACACTGACTCAAATTCTGGAATGTCTGATTCCTAGGGGAAGCATTGTGTGAGGAAGATGAAGGGGAGCTCAAAGGCCCTTGAATGCTTTAGTTTTTAGAGGCTATTGAAAAAGTTACATGTTAAGTGAAAGTTTCTCTGATCAACCCCATACTCAGTACCACTCCTCAGAAAGAGGAAGGGAGAGAGAAAGAAAGGAAAGAGAAGAGAGAGACAGAGAGACAGAGACCAGAGACAGAGATACAGACAGAGACTAGAGATAGAAACAGAGACAGAGACAGAGAAAGAAGGGACGGAAAGATGGAGAGAGACAGAGACAGAGAGACACAGAGAGAGAGAGAAAGAGAGAGATAGAGAGAAAGAGAGACAGAGGCAGAGAGACACAGAGACAGAAAGAGAGGATGTGAGAGAAAGAGTGAGAAAGAGGGAGAGACATAGATAAACAGAGAGATGCAGAGAGATAGATGAGCAGAGAGAAAGAGAGAGAAATTTTAGCTCATAGGCAGTAACTAATAGTACAATCTTTAATGTTAATAAAGAATTGAAGATGCTGTGAGATAATGGTTTTTTAATAATGACTGGCATTTGCAAAGTGCTTTAAAGATTGCAAAGCACTCTACATACCTTAATCTCTTTTGAGCCCAACAATAGCTTTTTGAGGTAGGTATGTGGCTATCATTACCCTCATTTTACAGAAGGGGAAGCTGAGGATCAGAAAGGAGAAATAACTTCCCTGTATTCACTACATCTAGGAAGTGTTAGCTGTGTAATTAAAACCCAAATCTTCCTGATTCCAAATCCAGTGCTTCCTCTACCACGTCCTACTGATTCCTCTCATTCAGAAATGTAATTTGCCATTCTACATTTCTATATACTGCCATAGCTATGTTTCATCAATAATACACACATGGACTTAATCATCCTATAAACCTCTTTGACACCATTAGCTACTCTCTCTTGCTTTCCACTTTGGGAAAGGGAGAAAAAGGAAGAGGAAAATTGTGAAATTGGAGCCTTAGCAGATGATGATGATGATGATGACAGATCTAATTCTCCTCCCCCATTCCAAGCATCATCCTACTGAAAATTGGACTTTCCAAACTTCTAAAGAAATATATAAAGGAGAACTATGAGTAGGGTGCTAAAAGGAGTATCATAATGTCACTTAGCTTTACTTCAGGCAAAAATGTGCCCCTAATTGCTTTCATTCATTTTATTACTGGTAAGTGGGAAAGATGGCCAGGTAAGAAATTTGTTATAGGGAGTTAGGAATCTTTCCTTACCGCCCTCCCCACCCCCGCCACTTCATTATATGGTTATAAGTCCAATTGAATCCTTTTTCTTGCCCTTAGACATTGCCTAAGCCACTGAAATTAAGATTCAACTGAAGAGTTCTGAACAACCCTGTCTGCTAAGAGGAAAAGTACAGAAATCGTGCTCAGATTACTCTCTTCAATGCTCAGAGGCCTCAGCAAGGGAGAAATTATACTTGATTCTGTTTCCTAGGTCATTCTGTTTACAGTAGCAATAGTTGCAATGTATCTGCATATTACCTCATCTTCCTTTAGAGTGAAATATAGGCTTCAAGTGTATACACTAAAAACCCCCATTTTCTGTATCCTTAATTATGGAAACTGTTTAATCCTTGTCCCCATTGCATGGGTTTATTGCTGAATATCTCCACATCCAGCCCCTGGTTTTTCTATGTTGCTTAGTGTTCCAATTCTATTCATAAGGTGCTTAGACACCCTTACCAAACTTGGTGCCATATGTATGATAATTTTTCTTGTCAACTAAGCCAGAAAATATTAAATGGTACCTAACCCTGTTAGGTTGTTGTCTAACTTTCTTCTAGGTCATTACAGATGTTACATTCATTTTCACTAGAAATATCTTCAATAAAATGGTAGCTCTGGGTATTGTGCTTTCAGTTTTTGTTTTAGATTGGTGTAGAAAGAAAGGATAGAAACAAACATATTAAGCACTCACTAAGTGCTAAGCACTTTACAAAGATCTCATTTGATCTTCACAATCACCCTGGGAGGTAGGTGTTATTATTATTCCTATTTTATAATTGAGGAAACTGAGACAAACAGAGGTTAAATGTCTTGTCCTCAGTTGAACAACTAATAAATGTCTGAGGCCAGATTTGAATTTGGGTCTTTCTGACTCTAGGCCCAGTGCTCTATCTACTGTGCAACTTAATTGTCTTGATGTATAAACCACAAAAAGCAGAATTAAGTGAGATAGTTTTATCTTCTCTTTTGTGATATTGTTTTCCTTTGTGTACATGAAGGAGAAAGAATGAGACAATCATTATCATGTCAGGCAAAAGAAAGAAATATGATATTTACCTGCTCTCCTGGTGTTTGAAATGTGTGTCTCAAGATGGTTTACAATGAGTATGGCTAGAGAAAGCTGTGAACAAAGACATATATGTTTCTGTCTTTCTCAGAGTGCTATTTTAATGAAGTAACCATCACTTATTTCAATTTACAGGGCACATGTATGAATATATTAAGGAAGATTCTGAAGCTAGTTTATTTTCTTACCTACTTACCTTCTAAATTCCTATCCTGAAAGTAAAAGAATTGTCATTCTGACTATGGTCATAAGAGTGATCCACAATTACTATTTATGGCACATTCAAGCAACACCATCATTTGGAAAAAAAGGAAATGAAATCTTTAAAACACTGACCTCTGAGGCAGGTTGTTCATACTTCAGGACAGACTAAGCATGTTGGCAAGTCTGAAAAATGAAAGTAATGTCTCTTTTAATGGTTAATATATGCTAGGTACTCTGGTACCTCTATGTAGTGTGTGCTAGGATGTACCTGGGATCTTAGATTTACACAGATTTTTTTTAAAAGAAAAATATTTTGCCTTGTTATTACTCCAAATGGAGATTTATTTTTAAACTGTGATTCATTTACACTGGATTTCAATTTTCATGTCCCATTGTGACAACCCAGGGAAAATATCCATGCAATCAAAACAAGGTTCTACCTCATTGCATTTTATGTTAGAAAATGCAGATTCTGCACTAGCACCCATTATAATTGATGGATGTGGGTGATTTTCTTTTCCTATGTCCATGTGACTCTCTCAAGCCAGCAGTGTTTGGGATGTATAGCATAGTTTCCTTTTCTCATCAGTGACAGTGTATGAGGTACGTGTGACAACAGGAGAACGGTGGAATGCTGGGACAGAATCCAAAGTCTACATTTCTATCTATGGAGAGAAAGGAGATACAGGCTCCAGGCAACTGTTTAGATCAAAGAACCCCAAGAAATTTTTAAAAGGACAAGTGAGTGAGCAAAATCCATTTCTCTGAATCTTTAAAAAAAAATCCTACCTTTACATTATATGACTGGGAGTAATTATTCTCTGAATATTTGTTTTAACATTTATTATTCACTATGAATATATAATAATTATTACTAGGTAATGGGGATTTAATGCTATATTTAATTATATGCTATATTTGCATTCATTTTATTAAGCAAAAAAGATCTATCACAAAGCATTTTGCTTATAACTCTCCTGGGTGTTTGTTCTTCCAGTGAAGTCCTGCTTTTTTCCTTGGGGTTTAAAGGGGATTGTGGGTTCTTTAAGGATATGGAAGTGGAGCACAGACTCTGGAATTTACTTTCTATCTGGAAAGGGTTTGCATATGTGCATGAAGATATAGACATGACACAGCATCTGAAGTCAAGACAGCTAAGTGTGGGGAGGCTGCCCACTGCAGGTGTGGCTGTGACATGATCCTTTTTTTGGGTGGGGGGATTCCAATAACTCATTAAATTGCCTATGTGTGGAGGGGCTAAGAGTTACATTAGTAGAAGCAGAGGTGAAATCATAGATCTATGAAATATTGAAGAGTAATACTTTACCCCATACACCAAGATAAGGTCCAAATAGATATATGACCTAAATATAAAAGATCCCATTATAAACAATTTAGAGAAAGAATGAAGAAATTACATTTTTGGATCTGTAGCTAGGGAAGAGTTCATAAGTAAACAATTGATAAGGTCACACAAGATAAACTAGACAATTTTGATTATGAAAAAATAAAAAGTTTCAACACAAACAAATCATATGTAGTTAATATCAGAAAGGAAGCAGGTAACTGGGAAAAAATCTTTATGACAGGTTTCTCTGATAAAGGTTTTATATCCAAGATATATAAGAAACCATTTCAAATTTATAAGAACAAGGGTCATTCCTAATGATAAATGGTCAAAGGATCTGGTAACTTTTAAAGGAAGAAATACAAGCTGCCAATAACCCTATTAAAAAAATCACTCTAAATCACGAATAATTAGAGAAATGCAACTTTGATGCTTTCCACCTTACACTCATCAGATTGGCATAGCTGACAAAAAAAGGAAAATGACAAATGCCAGAGGGGCTATGGGAAAACAGGCAAATGTACTGTTGGTGAAGCTGTGAATTGGTTCTACCATTCTGCTAAGTTATTTGAAATATACCCCAAAAGCTATTAAACTGCACATATTCTTTGTCACATCAATACCACTATTAGGTATATACCCCTAAAGAGAAAATCTTGTAGGTGTTTTATTTTCATTTTAGTTTTCTGGTCATCCAGTAATAGGGACTTGTATCTTCCCAGGATCTAAGCCAGGACCAAATTGTTATATTGATTTTCATATAAAAGTATCTTGAGACTTTTCACTTTTTCCTGTATTGGACATGTACAAACCACAACAAGGTAGGCATGTCTATTTTTGAGTATAACAACAATTCAGGACTTGAAAGAATTATGATTTCTGTCACCAAAGCTCTGCCTTCTTTTGTATCAGAATTATAAAATTACTTTTATGTAAATTAAAATTTATTTTTTTTAAATTAACAGGCATTTATTTTCCCTCCTTTTCACCCTCCCCTACTAGGAAAAACCCTAAAACTCTTTTGACAAATATGCATAGTTAAGCAAAACATAGTTAAACATAATGCATAGTTAAGCAAAACATAAGTTAAACAAAGCAAGTCTCCTGAAATTACTTTGGATTGATGTAGTCTAGGCTGGTCTAACAGCATTCTTTCTAAGTTAAAGACTACAGTGCTTAAATATAAACTCCTAAACATTTGAAGAGATTATTATTATTATTACAGCACAATTATTTATGTAATTATATTTATATATAATTACCACCTAGGAATACCATCATCAATGAGAAAAAAATAAATATTTGAAAACATGATTATACTCATATAATTATGTTGCTCTTTTGTTCTTTTATTTCTCACCTCATTTGAATCATGTCAATGAATTCAATTTTTCCTTACCTGTTTTAATATTATCTTACTTTGCAGTGTTGTTAGAAAGTTGAAAATGTCACCTAGATTTACTTATGCTCTTATTGATTGGTTGCAGACTGACATATTCTCTCTTGAAGCTGTGCATCTTGGGTATTTGTACAAGGTTGTTATAGCACATGATGGACTTGGCTCAGGTGAGACATATCTACACAGGAATATTAAGTGAACAGTTTCTACTGTATTTATGAGAAACACCATGTGTATTTATAAACTATTGATGCCCAGTAATGTGACTGAGATAATTTGTGTTTATAAAGAAAGCAATTTAGCTTCTTATTACCTAAATCTAAGTAACCTCTCCAAATGTTCATTAGATTTTAGATAGGTATATTTTTAAAAAATATCCTTTAACAGAAGAAGAAAGAAAAAGAAAAGAAAAATAATATGGACATTTCATACATAGCCAGATCTCATAAACTCTTTTTAAATTTCCCTTGGAATACTGTAAACTGTGGTGCTTTCCATTATGAGAATTTCATCTGATAAATTCATGAGTCCTTAAAGTGGTGCTATAATTTTAATAGGAATCTAACCAAAAATCTCTGATATTTTTTCCCTACATAGGACATTACATGCTTGATTCTTATACATACATCTAACACTTAAAACTCTAAATTACCTAAAGCTGGATTTCAGAGAAAAAAATAGAAAACCAGCTACTGAATCTTAATTGCTATTTGTAAAAGTATCCCTCTTCTGATTAGAGGTCTGTTATTAATTGATGCCATCTATAACATATTGATTCTTTGTATAAGAGAGGATCACTTTACCTGAGTTCTGAAGTGATAAACCTGATTGACATCAGAAGCCCAAGATTAAATTATGAAGTTTTTTGCTTTGGGTGATACGACTGTGACATTTGTCATCACTATTAGGTTAGGGCATGTAAGGCTGGTCTCATGGAGGCTGTTATTTCCTCCTGTGCTCCTGAAGGTAGTGTGGGGTGTGTAGGAGGAAAGAGGGGCTTGGAGTCTAGAGAGATTTGAGTAATAATGATGTTAGTTGATAGGAATATCTTACTTAAAGGTTTGTAAGATATTTTATATACATTATTTGATTTGAATCCCACAACAATCCTCTGAGTTAGACTCTATAGGTATTATTATTTTCATTTCTTCATTTCTGAAGAAGCAGTCTCAGAAGGTAAAAATGAAAAAAAAGAAGGTAAAAATGACTTACCCATAGGCTTATGGCTAGGAAGTATCAGTAAATGGAGCACTGGACTTGGAACCAGGAAAACTTGAGGTCAAATCCTGTCTCAGACATTTATTAGGTATTGTTTGTAGACATTTCACTTAGTCTTTTTTTCCTTATCTGAAAAATGGGAATACATACCTTCCAAGGTTGCTGAGAGGATTAAATGTTAAATTAGATTAAATGAGATATGTATGAACCACTTTCCAATCTTTAAAGCATTATATAAATGCTAAATATTACTAATATTATTACCACTATTCATATTGATTGACTATAGGAATATGTTTAGCTTTCATCTTTAGTAACTTTCAGTGTATTTTAGAAGCAAAAAATATTGAAACTGTTATTTACTTATAATAAAGCCATACTTTGATCTATTTTACTGATATATTTTGTATTTATATCACTTATTTTTATTCCTGTTTCTTCTTTTTCCCTCCTCCCAGAGAGACACCCTTATGAAAAAGAATTTTTTTAAATAAAAAAGAGGAAAAAATAGTAAAACCAATCAATATATTAAAAAAATCTGATGTTATATACAATGTTTCATATCCATGGACCCCTACCTCTATAAAAGAGCAGGGGGAATGTGTCTCCCAATATCTCTTCTTTGGGAGCAAGCCTTTTCTCTATAATTTTGCAACACCCAGTTTTGATTGTTTTGTGGTTATCATTCTTTCCATTTATATTATTGTAGTTATTGTGTAAGTTGTTTTTTTTTTTTCCCCTGGCTTTGCTTACTTCACTTTGCAACAGTTCATATAAATATTTTTATGCTTCCCTTTATTATGTTTATCATTTCTTACAGCATGATACTGTTAGGTCACATATTTTGCTACAGTTTGTTTAGACATTTCCAAATTTATAGGATCTACTTTGCTTCTAGGTCTTTGTTACCACAAAGAGTGCTGCTATAAATTTTTTTTTGGGTGTGAATATAGAGCCTTTCTTTTTCTTATTGAACTCCTTGGGCTATATATACCTATCCAGCACTGGGTTTAGATTTTATAAGCATAATTAAAAATAGATTTCTAGACGGGTTGTACCAAATTGTAGCTCAATGCATTATGTATCTATCCATCAATAAGTGAACAAACATTTATTAAACACTTACTACGTGCCAGGTATCATGCTGAGTGCTGTGGATGCAAGTACTAAAAAGACATTTCTTGCCCTGAAGAAGCTTACAATCTAATCAGGGAAGACAACACACAAAAGGGAGTGCACGCGTGTGGTGGAGAAAGTGGAAGGAATGGTGGAAAAGTCAGAGAGGTCCTAAAGTAGTATAGACAAATGAGAATTGTACATCAGTGTACCTGTCACCATAGCTTCCCAACATTGATCATTTTCATCTTTTCTCATATTCACTAATTTGCTGTGTGTAACATAAAACCTCAGAGCTGTTTTGCAACATTTACATTTCTATTATTATTTGTAATTTGGAACTATTTTTCATCTACTTATCCTTTCCTGATACCCCTTAATGCTAGTGCCTTCCTTTATGTGAATTATCTCCAATTTATGCTGTATGTACCTTGTTTGTACATAGTTATTTTCATGTTGTCTTTACCATTAAACTGTGAGCTCCTTGAGGGCAGAACTCTTTTGCCCTTCTCTGTATCCCCAGCCCTTAGCATAGTTCCCGGCACGTCATAGGTACTTACTATATCCTTATTTTTTTTTTTACTGATATAATTGTTGAGTTTGCAATTCTTCTTTTGAGAATTCTTTGTTCATATCCAATGACCATTTATCTTTTGGCAATTTTATTTTTATATTTTTTAAAGATCACACTTAAGTTCCATCTTTTATAACTTTCTGTGTATGTATGTTTGAAGCAAGAATATTAAAATTGCTATTTGTTCATTAAGGGCATATTTTTATAAGAATTTAAGGCCAGCATGTTGAAAGCATTTTTTGTTATTATTTACTAGCCACTTTAGAATGTTTTCCACATTCTTCCTTGATCCTTTTAGCAAGATGTAATCTCTCCCTCCTCATATCTCCTTTGTGCACTTTGCACCTCTCTGATGCACTTACCTCAGTGATTCAATACTTAAAGGACCTGTGATTTCACTGGTGTGGATACTCTCCACCAGTGTAAATTGCAGTCCTTTTATGCCTTCATTAATGGTCTTCAAAAGTGTTTGTGGGTTAAAAAAAAAAGCATCTTGAGTTCCCATTGGTGCTGAATTCCTTCAAGCATTGTTAGGCTGATTCTCTGATGGCATAGTTCCTCTCTGGGTCTTTAATATGTACTTTGTATCATACCATGATTTATACTGTAGTTATTTGAATGCATTCCTCATCTCCCCAATTAGATTGTCATCAGCTTGAGAGCAGAGATAGTTTCTTATCATCTGTGCATCACTGAGCACCTAGCTTAATGCTTTGCTGTACTGTGGATGCTTAGTAAATATTTTTTGATGTTAAATTCAACAGTTTTGAAAGTCCTTTTAAAACATACATCACAAAAGAATCAGGTTAGAGATATAAGAATTAAAAGTTTGATATACCTTGTTCATGTGTTGCTTAAAGTTTCTGTCTCATAAGGTTAACTTTTTTTTAGTTTTAATTTTTTTTGTTACATTTAAAATTCCAAACTGTCTGTCTCCCTCCCACCTCACCCCACACTAGAGAAGGCAACTATTTGATATACATACACATATCTATCTATCTTTCTTTCTATCTATCTATCTATCTATCATCTATCTATCTATCTATGTATCTTTCTTCCTATCTATGTATATATATATATATGTATGTATGTATGTAAAACAATACTGTGCATACTTCTATTTATTAGTTCTTTTTCTGATGGTGGATAGGATCTTCTTCCATGGGACCTTTATAGTTGATTTGAGTATTGATAATGCTCAGAATAACTTAGTCATTCAAAATTGTTCTTTGAACAATATTGCTATTATTGTATACAATGTACTCTTGCTTCTGCTCATTTCACTTATCACCTTTTCATGCTTCTTTCCATATTTTTCTAAAATCAACCAGCTCATCATTTCTATAACTTTTCAACCTGTTTAAAATTTGTTTACTAAGAACTTTATATTCACCCTGTATCTAAAACCACATTAATTTTTCTTGAAGATCAATCTCATCCATTAATCTTTCATATTAACATTACATTTTCCTTTCTTCAATTTTTATTTAGGAAATGGTTGGTTTCTCGATGATATCGTGATCAAAGACCCCACCACAGATCTTGAATATGCCTTCTTGTGTCACAGGTATCAGTGTGTGTGTGTAAGCAATTCAACTCACTGTGCGCCTCAACTCAGTGTGTGATTGATTCTCTGGTTCATAATTTTTGTATATTTAAAAACTATACACTTTCTATTGTCCCTGGTCCCTGGTAATTTATACCTGGATAATTTATTATTGTTTTTTTTTGTTTCTTTTCTTGTAGAGATACATTTTAAAAATGCTATATTTCTAGCCTATTTTAATTTAAATTCTCTCCTTTCTCGATCCTTATGTAATAGTGCATTTGTGATACCACTGATCAGAGCTAGGGTTATAGTTTTTGTGGCCGAGTAACAGAGCAAAGCACTCTGGCCCACATGATGTTGATTTTATGTCCTTGACCTCATTAGGACTGTTACTTCATTAAACTAATCTGATTTTAATTCTGGCAGAACAGGTTTATTTTCCTGGCTGCTTGTGGACTTTTATGACAGATTCAGGTAGAGAACCAGTTATCCCCTTCTTGCATTCCTTCTCCCTACCCTTCCTTGTACCCACTAGAAATGGATTACTCTCGCCAATCTCTTCTATTCATTATTTGAGACTTGGTTGGCTAAGTGTCAAAGATAGGTCATTGTGAGCACTAAATATAGTTGAATTCTTTTTCTCTTTGTAGATGGCTGGATCATGGAGAAGATGATGGGAAAATTACTAGAGAACTGTACCCTAGTGATAATAGCACATTCTTTGGGAGTAAGTGCTGAGTACCCAAATGTCTTGGGGAATTTGCTTTTACTACTGTGACTACAGAAGCCATGACATTGCTAAAGTTTAAAGCCTCTTCTTTCCTTTATCTCCATAGGGCAGAAGTTAGAACTTCAAAGAAAAGAAGCTGTAAGCACTTTGTTTTGAATCTTAAATTAGTGTATTCAATTTTCAAATAGCCATTTAATAAGTGGTAAAACAAACAGCACACAAATTTTGTATGAAGTGTTTATTTCTATGTGATATTTCCCCTTTGTGTCTTCTCATATTAGTTTTAACATTTTTGTTTTGGTTGTTGTTATGCATATTATTATTTTTCAATCAGTGGGCTGCTGAAAGTTGGAAATTGAAGAAAGGAAACACTCTTCAGTTCTATAACCGACTTAGTGGAGGCTTTGTCCGTCTCCACCCAGATGGCTCCGTTGATGCTCTTGGAGAAAAGACAGACAAAAATGGTAAGCATTTGGCCAAAGCATGTGGTGCTGTGGCAGTTGTGGGAGGCAGATTTCAAGACTCACTTTTGAGTCTTACTTTTAAGTGGCAGGTAGTTTTGGACAAGAATTAGGCCCTCTCCCCTCCTTTATTTTTTAAGCAGTTCCATTTTTTAAGCATTTACTAAATCCTGAATTCCATCCATCTCTCTCTCTCTCTCTCTCTCTCTCTCTCTCTCTCTAATCTACATACATATATGTATGTGTGTATAATCTGTATGTACATATATATAGCTATATATCTATGTGTCGCCTTTTTTCTTTCTCCATTTATATATGTATATGAGCGTGTATGTTACAAACAAACACAGACACACACATATATGTACACACAATGTAGTCCCCTACCTATATAAAGTTGTCAGTTTAGTAGGAAGATGACATTAACACCAGTAAATGTAATATGCAAAATTATATGACAAATATATTAGGAAGTTCCTAAATAAAAGTTCTCTGTGAGGTCTGAAGGAGAAGGTCATTACTGACTTGGTGAGGGGGAAATTATGGGATTTTTAATGAAGAAGTAACACTTGCATTACATTTTCAATAATGGGTAGAAATTCAACAGGTTAAGGTATGATCATTCTAGGCACAGAGGAAAACATAAGCAAAAACATGATGGCAGAAGAGAACAGCTGCGTCTTTGTTTGTTAGATAGTAGTCTATTTTTGCCTGGAGCATGGAGTGTGTCAAAGACAGTAAAATATTGGAAAAGTAGGTCTTATCATGAAGGACTTTGAATCTCTGGCACAGGACTTTATATTCTACTCATTTGATAATAGGGGGCCACTAAAGATTTTTGAGTAGAGGATTGATGTGATTGAGTTTCTAGCTAAGTAAGTTAAATAAGATTATTTTAGAACTGGTATGAAGGACAGATTAGAAGAAAGAGAGTGTCTCCATTAACATGCATGACCAACACGTGCAATGTTTAAAGCTGTACAAACAGTGTCATCATCTTATGGAACAAGATGTGGTGAAGAAATTGGAGCTTGGCATTCCTTAATGAAAGGATAAAATATGAGTTCTGGGCATTGATTGTCTATAGGAATAAAAAAATATAATTCTTATATGACTCCTTTATTTCAAACAATTGAAACTTTACAGACAAAAAACAAAACTGGGTCCTTTATAGGGGATAATTAAAGGAAGTGTCTCTAAGAAATGATATGAAAGGATGAGAATTAAAGAAAAGATCTCTTGATATCATCCCTACACCAGCTCCACTTGAGATCCTTGCTGTTCCCTGTTCCCTTTAGTCTCCAGATATGTCCTTTGATGCCTATATATTGCATTTCCCCAAATCTGACACAATCAATTCATCTTAAAGACATGGAAATGAATTACTTCTCCTTCCCTCAAAAAATATTATTACAATCTGTGGTTACTTGTTAATACCCTTCCTATTATAACCGCTGCTGAACATAGTACACTTTAGAACACCCAGCTCTTGGATCAACTTTTTTTAGACTTACCAGTTAAGAGTGCTGCATATTTCCTGCAATCATCTTATGCCTAATCTTTTCTCTGACTAAAATATTCTCTTTTCTAAATATTGCATGCTGTGCTTCTCTCTAACACACTATCTTTTCTTCCTTTCCAGTTCTCTTGAATTTCAGTGGATTAAAGCTAGTAATAAATAATAGCTCAAGTAAGTCAATAAAGATCTATGGGCAGAGCTTGGTAACTGCCAAAATGGGGGTGGGGGGAGTCCTGCCCTGAAGAGCCATCAGTCATCTTGACTATGCTAGTACTATGTAAACCACAATGGGCAATCCAAAGCAGGTAGGTGCCTGGGGCCGGTGAATAGAATTCCATGGCTTAGCTGGCATTCCTCTGGTAACAGAGGGTCTTTTGATAATTGCATGCAGTGTGGTTTCCTGATGTTCGGTGGCCCATAAATCCTCACTGTGAGGCAGTTTTTTACGTCTCTGGAATGTGTTATAATGGACAGCACTGACCTATGGACAACTTCTGAAGAGTGTCTTTGTGGCGTAGGAATTTTCAGTCCATATTATAACAGGCAGCAAGGCTTTGATTCCCCACTCACATATCAATTCCTCCAGCTAGTTATCTTGCTGGATTTAAGTCCCACCATTTGCATGACTCAGAGAGATAGATTGCTGATTTCTCTAAGAACTATTGAGCCATTTTGTGGCAGTGTGGGATCTAATAGTGGTTGCACAGCATAGGAATGTCCAGGAAATCCCAAAGGGGGCTTCATTTCATGGTCATCAGCTATGAGCTACTAAAAAATAATAATCAAAGCAAAAACAAGGACAGAGACAACAACAACAGTCTTCCACCAGTAACTTCTTTGCCCTCATATCCATCCCCAAGGCTCCACATCCAGACTGAAGCAACAAGTAAAGTGATTTGATTTTTAACACTAAACCTTTGATGGATAGATTTATGGCTGAGCCGGTTTCATAGGGTTCCTGCTGAGATTTTTAACAGCATTGCTGGCAAAATCCAGCTTCCCGTGGCGGCCTACGTTCATTGTAGTTGTCTCCTGTGGGTGAAGAGCTTCATTAAAAAGCTGTTCATCCTATGGATTCAGGTGTGCCACCTATAAATCTGGGTTCCTAAAGGGTTAACCAGGCTATTTAGTGGGATGGATCACACCCTAGGCAGCCAACAGGGTGGTGCTGTTTTCTCCCAAAACCTCTGATGAGGTGTCTGGACATCCATGTATGTATGTGTATGTTTATCCTATTTATGATTCCAATAGTTAGTGTTTATGTGTCACTAGGTTTTGTGCTTCTCTCTAACACACTCTCTTTAGAAAGCAAAATACTTTATTGTACATGGTCTCATTTGAACCTTCCAATAACGGGGATAGGGGCTGTTATTATGCCCATTTTGCAGATGAACAAACTGAAGCTGAAAGCTACTAAGTAACCTGTCCATGTTCACATAACTAGTCAAGGTCTGATGCAGAATTTGAAATCAGGCCTTTCTGACTCCAAACTCAGCACTCTTAAACCCTATGTTACCTAACTGCCTATGAGGATTTGTGTGAAGTTAGCATGTTATAATAATATGAGAACTGACTTCAGAGCGAAAAAACCCCTGGATTTGAGGCCTGATTTTTCTACGTGGGTGGCAATGATGAAATACTTCATAATAATTCTAAACCTTCTTTGCAAAATGGGGAAAACAATAATTCACATTATCTCCCTCATGGTATAATTTTAAGGAAATGGATTTGTAAACTATTTTACTCTGGGAAAAGGATTTTGGATTTGGATGAATGATTTAATGACTGTCATTTAAGAGCCTTGTGATCTTGCGTAAGTCACATCCCCAGATGGCTTATCTGAAAAACAGAGGGTGATTTGTACCAGATGACTTCTAAGTTCTCTTCGAGCTCTAAATCTATGATCCTATTAAATATCTTTTTAAAGTTTTATAAGTATTAGAGTATACAAAGTATTACTTATGAAGTAGTACACTTGTATATTTATAAAGTAGTATTTAGAAAATATTATAAGTACATATTTACAAGTATTAAAAATGTGTTTGCATTGATAACCAGGAGAATTAGTTTCTGGGACTCTGCAATTAGTCAATAATCATTTATTAAGTGCCTTCTGAATATCAGATACTTTACTAAGAACTGGGGTTACAAAGAAAGGCAAACAACCAAAAAAAAATCCCCTTGCTCAATTTTTTTCCCCCTTTGGGCAGATTAATTAGCTTCTTTGAATCTCAGCTTCCTCATTGGTTAGGTGAAAGATTTAGATGAGGCATAATATTATTTATTATTTTTAAGTCACTTCAGAGGGTATGGTAAGTAGGTAGAGAGGATGTGTTTAGGAGCTGAGGATGGTAATGGTGAATGGAGGACACCAATGGGAATCCTTGACTAGCAATGCTGATTACACTCTCTTAAATTAGTTCCATGGGGTGGAAAACTTCCTGCCCACCTCTTTGTCGTTTTATGTACAAGTCAACTTTTAACTCTGCTTCTCTCCAGCTGTTCATTTAATGGTTTGCTGAGCTAAGGCAATCCTTTTCTGACTGTCAGTAGCTTACAGATTAAGAAGGAATGAAACTCAAGCAAGAGAAATATTTTGAAATTAGACATAGGAGATAGCATGCTATCATGGAAAAAACAGTGACCTGGGAGTCAGGAGAACTGCCTCCACATCTGGGACTTGATGCTTAATAACTGGGTGAGTAGTACAGGCAAATCACTTTATCTCTCTAAGCTTCAGCTTGGTCATCTCTAAAATGGGCATAGGATATTTACATGACTTAAAACACAGGCTTGGTTATGAGGGAAAAAAAACTGTAACCCTTAAAATTCTCTAGAAAAGTGAGTTAGTAAGGAACACTGGATTGAATCAGAACTATTTTGAGGGGCTCTATCATTGCTTGCTTGAATGACTGTGGTCTGCTTAATTGGCCTTTGCAAACTTTAGTTTCATAATTCATTAGGTTTGAACCTCTGATGTTCTCTTCAGCTTGATAGCGCTATGCTTCCTGCTATCATTCCAGGATTTCCATCAGTTCCCCTTACTCTCAAGCAGTTAACAGCTATTTGGTCTTGAGTGGTTTTTAATCTTCATGGGGTTGCCGAGTAGTTGGACTCTGACATTTCTACCTCTCTGCACAGCATGGACAACATCAATTGCTATTGCTGCATCATCTCTAATTGCCTTGTTTTCTTTAGGCAGTTGAGAATTTTCGATTAGCTCCTGGCACCTTTCTGACTAAGGAGCTTCTAAGTTACTTTGCTAGTAAACTTCATCACTGGTTAACGTAATACAGATAAGTTTAGATTATATTTAATTTTATCACTATGACCAGAAAATTAATGGTGGAAAACATGGTTTAGGTTTGAGAAGTGAAAGAGATTATTCTGCCACCCTGGAGATTCTTCTGCCCTGGGGCTAGCTCTTTTGTTTGGTGACTACCTTTTCTGGACCAACTACTATTTCAGGAAAAGTCCCAACCAT